TTTTAGTAAATGCATCAGTGTGAAGTCATCTTGTAGAACATTAATGCCCTACAGGTCGGCATTTTACATTGAATTTCAAGCATGTCAAATGAACGAAAATTTGAGGCATAGGGGGAAGCTTTGCCCCTTGATCTGCCAGTGGAGCAGTTTCCTCAGTTTCAGTCAATAGCGATAGCATTGTCGGACTCTTCGTGTTGTTCCTCCTCTCCGGTTTGCGATCCTTCTCCATCTTGTGAATCTTCTGCATTCGATGACCATGAAGAAAATGACAATGGTGAAAATTGATCCAGCGACATTGCGCGGACGAAATCCATTAGATCAGGTTCGTCTTCCGATTCACTGTCTTCAAGTTCACTGCCTTCTTCCATGGAAAGGATGCGTCGCAGATCGTCATCCAGTTCGTTGCTGGGACAAACGGCTTCTTCCCCTGAGACTAAGAACCAAAGGGCCCCAATCATGACCACGATGCACCCGATGTAGCCCAGCAGTTTCCACCAAGGTGCTCCGTCCATCTCCTGCAAGATGATGAGTGCACTGAGGCTGTTTGAGACAATGTTGGACCCCTGGAACACCGTCACCATATAGAGAGCTTCGTATTTCTGCATGCCCTTCGCCATGTATGGCACATTAACCACCGCGAAAAACACCGCTCCAGTCAAGACAATCCAGGGGAGCCAGTGCCCCCAGGGGCTGCAAACGTGTGCAGAAGCGCAGTCAGCTGCGAAAACTGCTGCCACGCGCGTGCACCACATGTTCCCTGCCATGGAGCCTGCAGTGGCTCCCAACGAGAATCCTCGTAGCACCGAACCTTTCGCCGAACGTCTGCGAAGCCAGATATTCAGACAGAACCACAGTGCAAAGACCAAGCCGTAGACCAAGACGCTCCATCGCAAGAGAACAGTTTCAGCACGTTCCAAGGTCCAGACCTCTTCATCTTCATTTTGATTTTTGAACGAAATGGAGGACGTGGCCGTGATAAAGATGATGGCGGATGCAATCAATCTGCAGGGGTTCAGCATGAGGGCGACTTTGCAGAGCAAAGAATGAGGAAACAAGTTGAAGATAAACCCCCTGTGAATAAACGAGTGGTTTACCAATCCTAGGTTAGTCGGTATCATCTGGCAACATCCTTGTTGTTGGCACGGAGAGATGGTCTTAAGTGGATTTAAGTGGTATTCCTCTACCAAATATGTTGGCTTTAAACCCGTGTGGACCCTTCACGAATTCAAAAGCCCGGGTCCTGCGGTTTGTGAGCTTCTCACCTAAGGTGAAGGGAGCAATGACAGCATTGATCACCTGGCACGATTGCTTCGCACCCTTGGTACCCAAGAATCAGTTGATTGGCAATTGGATTTCATCCTCCCATGTGGAAGATGGAAAAAAAGAAACATACCATGACCTTATGTTAATTGGTACAGAAAAAGCAAAAACATAGGAAATTGACTACCAAATCACTAGAGCTACCAATTTTTGTGGTGGATGTGGTGGAAAGTTCAGCATGTTTGTCGGTGACAAGACATGAACTCGAATAGTTCCGGTCAACAAAAAGCAATCTTTCCTGGGTAGTTAGTTCACCATGTTTTTTCCAAAAAACTCTTCCCCGTTTGCTTTTTTCAAACCCAGTGACAATATTAAAGCCCGAAAAGGGCGCGAGGACTGCGGCGGCCGCAAAGGCATAGCCAGCAACATCAAACAGAGGGCCCAGCAAGATATTCATAGCCTTGGAGTTGGCTCAGTCTGGGCGGAAAAAATCGTCTAGATAGATGGTCATCATCTTGCCATGGATCAAAATCTTGCGCCCTGATTGGATGAAGGTCCCTCTGGCATTGGCCCACCCCCAAGTGGTCATTAATCATTAAACTACTTTTGAAAACGCTTATTCACACACGGATTGTTTAAGTATTAATGATGGCCTCACATGAGACAACTGCGGAATTGGCTTGGAATAAAATTTCTCACCGTTTACCTGTTGGTTGTGAGAAATGGTCCAGTCACCGGTCCACGCACCAATGAACCAGAGGGAGAAGGGCATCTAAGGGAGCAGTCCCGGCCACCAAAAAAGTACTCTTCTTTCCCCAACAATATCCACTGTTTTTGCGGGACCTTCAAATGAACAAACCCATCACTTAGGGATTCTGGTTTGTTGACACATCAGTGATCTTCATCAGGTAGGTAGATCTTAGATCATCCACTTTGCTGGTTGGTTTTCTAGTCATCAATTCACAGGAAAACTCCCCCAAAAATAAAAGATATTCCCAATCGATCCAGCAAGTATAGATGAAAACCATGAAACATCATGAAACAACATCAGATTTTTTCTGAAACTCCAGGTCACCATGCCCAGTATGAAGAATGCACGGCTCTCCCTGAGTTTCTGCTCTTTCTTCTTGAGTTCAGACATGCGGATCATTTGCATTCCACACGTCCCCATCGTCAATCCGAAGACGACCTTGGAGTGGGGCTTCCAAAACACACACACATAATCACACATACTTAGCGCCATATAAAGTGGATACACCGCATACAAATTGTATAATCTCATATACATTAGCATGGGTTTGTCTGAACATAGGTAACACCCCAAATCCACGTGTGAAATCGTCACGTTCCCTGTTAAAATTGCTATCCTCATTTTCAGACACCAGTGTGGTGGATTAACCAATGGAACACCAAAAAATACTAAAGCAAACCCAGGTACTAGGGCCACTCCCATGACCCACCGCATGGTGGGAAAAATTTGAAAAATTTGCCGCGGCACAAGTTGGGAAAGCAACTGCTTTGTCTTGAGCCCTCGCAAGAACAATTTTCTACCACTGATGCCTCCTCCGCTTCTTGAAGTCATTTTGATCAAAATTGCTGTTTATCTGTTTTACGATTTGGTTTAGTTACTTTAGATCTCCTGCAAGACAGTAGCAACAGTTTGAACAAAGTGGCATGCTGATTCAACAAACATATGTTTTCGGCGTTAGCAACTGCAGCATGTGCGTGAACCCAGCCACCTGTGGATCATTGGCCCATTCCAAGATCTTGTCTTAGGCGGCAAATGCAACCTTGGAACCACAGTTTTCAAGCTTTAACAACCCATTGGGACCAGAATCATATCGGATGTGTGTGGGGAGGTAGGGAGGTAGGGAAGTTAGGTAGGTAGGCAGGTTAGTGGGTCTGTAGATGAATATGTGCGTCTGCATGTATGTATATTATATATATATGGTGATTCAGAATTTTGGGTGTAAATCTGTACCTGACCTGTATTAAATAATACTATATATATATAAACAAATAGTTATATAAATAATAATCATATATCCTCCTCCTATCCCATAAATGAATGCCTTCTCTGCTCACAGCAAACTCCACCGGTATCAACAATTTGAACACCTTATAATTAAAGCAATAACAACAGTAGAAACAACACAGGCAAAATATTGACCATGTCTGATAAACCTGAATCAAATCCAGGTTTGCTGGGTTCCTTTATCATCATTCACATGGGGATGGGGTCCAAACCTTGGTATCAAGGTAGACGTTTAGCTGTTAAGCTGGGATGTTGATCAGTGTATTCATACTGAAAATGATATTGACCATCCCAGTGTACCGACACCATCATCTTTGCACTTTATATAATCTGGTTGGTGTTTGAGCCGCCCCTCTGAAAAATATGAGTCGTCAGTTGGGATGAAGAAATTCCCAATATATATATGTATATGGAAAAACAAAAATCATGTTCCAAACCACCAACCCTTGCCTTTCACCATAAGAAACTCAAGGGGCCCATCCCAAAATCTTCGAGGGACTTGGTAGTTGTCATCCCACCCCTACTTGGATGTGCCAGTAGCTGGCCAATAATCTGCAGAGGACGAGGATGCATAGACATTGGAATAGGTATATCATATCACAGACACTAATGCACATTACATGAATAATGATATAATCTATATAATTCTAAATATATATATATCGATAGATATGGGTGTATCCCGTATACTAACTGGGATGCACATCATTGACTCAATGAAGCAATGGGAGCTCAGCCCTTTTGGAATTCCGAGACATACATACGTGTCGGTTCATGGAGGAATCGCGTCGGTTTACCCATCCATAGCGGTAAAATGTGGCAAATCCATACAAATCCCCCATGAAGCTTCATGGTAGTATCACCAAAAAAATCAAGAACCAACCAGTTCTAGCCGCCTCTCAATTCCAAGCAAATCTTGAAGCATCTTGAAGCCCTCCAAAATGTTAAACTTGCCATGGCACCTCTGGAAATTTCTCCTGGGCCACCTTGAGAATCTCAGTTTGAACGGCTAGATCACTCAGTGCATCCTGGCAGTGGATTCGTCCCAAGAAATTTGACGTGGAATTCGGAAAAATTGGATGCCAAGTAAGCCATCAGGATGTCAGGAATGATGTCCATCTGCAAATTACCATTTCTGGGTTCTGACCTTGTAAGAACGATAAGCATTCAGGGTTGGAAGGCTGTTAGTATGCCAAAAAGAAACTGGACTTGGCACTTATCATTGCCTAATATTGCCTAGATACCGGCTATACCCTATGGCAATCAGACACGGGCAATGGACATACACCATGAAAGTAGATGGTTTACAGGGTTTACTGGTTGACAATTGGGATTTCCGTTCAGAGTAAACCATGTTCCCAGACGCCGAATTGGCAGGTCCTCCCCGGCTTTCTTGATCGCTCAGGGGCTCTGCAGGGAGATATTGATGTAGCTCTTGAATTGGGATGTAAAAAAATGATGCAATGAGAAATATACACTAATTGTTACACTAATTGTACACATGGGGAAATGATCGAAGGAAGTTTAGAAGTCAAACTTCCGACAATATGGACAGATGAAAAGCAGAGCAGGGAAGAGGCAGAGAGAAGAGAAAGATTAGAAGAAAGAAGAGTAAGAAGAAAGAAGATGCAGATGCGCGAAAAGGTAGGAAAGTCGCGAAACACTGTGTTTTTCCAATGATTTGGGGCTCCGGAGGGTCGAAAAG